GAACAACTAAATACAAAACACGGCAATACACAAAAGAATGACATTATATACTATGGTCTTAGAATGAATGTTTTCTTGTTTTCATTGTGGCAAACTGGTCAATGACATCGTCAAAATCTGTTTGTCTTGTAAGCTCATTTTCAATGGACAGCACAGCCAGATCCGACAGTCTCGACTGGCTCATGGTTGACGTAATTTTCTGTTGCTAATTTTCCGGTGTCCAATTTTCCGTTGCATACTTTTCTGGGTACCATTCTTGACAAAAATGTTCTATTTAATTTTTAAGCATTTTTCGGAACATTGTAAATCAACTGCATTCTTTTAAAGGTTACCTAGAGAATTTATGCAAAGTTTATTTTTTTTGTTTTTCTTTATACAAGTAAAATAAATTTACATCGTATTTTGATGTTATTATGATTTTAGTTTTAGTGATAATTTAAAAACAATAAATATTTATCATTAGTACCAATAATGGAAAATTCAGTTAAAAATTTAAAAGAATCGTTTTTGGAATCGGAAAATAGGCACAAATTTTTCCGATTCCGATACCGTTTCCAATATTTCCACAAAAAGTTCCGATTTTTCCGATTCTCGATTCCGATTCCGATTAATCGTCCCAACACTAGTAGATATGTTCAAAAGTATATCGCTCACTCAATAGAAAATTGTATCTCAGTGAATTGATAAACAGGCAAGACTGAAATTGTTGCACTTTTGACTTCATATTTCGCTTTGTTGTTATTAATGATGCAGAGTTAAAACACCATATCATCCGATAAAATGTTACAACAATGTCTCTTGTTAGTAACCAAGATTGTAGCAACTGAAACACATGAAAGCTGAAAACATTGCTATGTTTCCTACTCACAAATTTCCTGACAATTTATTAGAAAATTTCTGACGGGGGACAAAACTGGGGGGTCATAAATTATTTCGGGGGGGGTCATATGCCCGCCTGCGAAACCCTGTGTTTACACCACTGTTTTCAGACTATTTTTGGCACCTTAGCCTGGTTGAAAAATTTTGTTGGGGTTGACATTGTGTCACCCCTCCTGTGCTGGCACCCCGGTCCGCCCCCCCTCGCCACTCCTTAGCTACGCCACTGTTTCTGGGAAAGGACCGTGTTATCTAGCGTGATCAACAATTTGAACAAGTGACTTCGTGCTAGCACAGCTATCGACGGCCCGTTTATCCAGTTTTACTCAAAAGGCTTGGCCCGTATACTTTCCAAAGGTGCCGCTCCATATCCTTCCGATAACATCGGTGAGATTCGAGAACGTTCTAACCAGTCGGCCACGTACCCAGACCATAACACTAAGGATACTTGTTAGAGTGAAGAGGGCATAAATTTCTACAAAGTTATTTTCGAATTTCTTTACCAAATTTGAAGACTGCAATTTTTTTTCTCCTTAAGTTCTTGAATTTTCATAAACTTTCAAAATCGGCAGAAAAATCCTAAAATGTAAAAAAATCATGAAATGTAAAAAAGAAAAAAACTTAAATGTTTAAAAAATCCTAAAATGAAAATAAAAACTATAACAATTCCTAAATTACAATTATATAAATTACTCAAATAAAAAAAAAAAACTTTAAAAATCTTAAAATGAAAAAAAGTCCTAAAAAATGAAAAGAATATCCCTAAAATTAAAAATAATCTTGTAATGGATTTAAATCCTAAAATTAAAAAAAAAATAATACAAAAATGAATAAATTGTTTAGAAAAATCCTAAAATAGAAAATAAATTCTAAACTGAACTTTTTTTTAAAAATTCATAAATGAAATAAAATAAAATAAATGTTATAAAATGAAAAATAAAATAAAATTCTAGAAATGAAAACTATATCAGTTGCTTTATTTTCTGTTTTTCCTTTCCATTCTATTTGAATTCTTCCTCGCAGAATAAAATTCTGTTTCTGATTTATTTTTGATTTCTTCTTTCTCGAAAATATTACCTTCTTCCTGTGAAACTTGTCATTTTAATGTTCACAAATCGTCAGTGTGTTTGTGTTCGTTTTGAAGCATTTTTTCCCACAGCAAACAACTCAAAACTCAATGGTAAAAACAACAGTGGGGGGAAAAAAGTAGATTGATATACCAACTTGCGTACAAGTTAAAGAAAATGACTCATTCAAATGTACCTTTATATTTAGTAGTTGTTGGTTCCTTACTACGAACCGAATCCTTTTTCTTCTTTCTTTCTTTTGACTGCTAATTTTTGGGTGATGTATTTTGTCTGCTTAGTAACTACGATTCAAATGTTTGGCTTTCTGGCTGTTTGTTTTGAATATTAGACTGTAGACGTTTATTGAGCTTATTTTCGCTTCGTAGATGATGAATCAGAGAAACAAGAAGATTGTGTTGCGCCAATCTTCTAAAGTCAGAGCTACCTTAGAAGTTTTTAACTGGATTCTAACTATCAGTGTATGTTGGAAATATACATATATCTTCCATATATTGTACCGGGAAGACACCAGTCGACGGTATGTACATATCTGTAACGACAAAGGTGTATTTTTGGTATGTTGTAACTTAGGGAAGGTTACTGAATCGAATAATCAAACAAATATTGGTAATGAACGATAATACTTAGGACAAGAACAACATCTATAAGATTCGCCAACGGCGCGTAGAAGTAGTAGTCAACTGCTAGAAGTGAGTCAAGTGAATTCCACAATGAATTTCTAACTGAAGACTAACATACAGTATTTACTACTATATTTATTATTGTCATTATTGTCAGTAGATATGCTACAACATGGTATTACTAAATTTAGTTGTATTATTTACATTATTCGGACTATTATCCTCATCTTCATTGTCAGATTCACAACGTTTCGGCCTGGACATGCCAAATACTTTCAAAAATTTCAAATTGAAAAAAAAATATCTATCGGTCTGCACATATTTCGTCTTAGTGTTTGCCTATTAATGGGAAAAATTGTGCCCTGAAGATGACAATTCATATGTCTTCCATCCGACAATAACTCGAATATAAGGATCTTATTATTCAAGGAATTTATACTAAGTTAATGCTTCATTAAGCTTTGTTAGCAAAGTGATTTCGCCATTAATCCCATTAACATTGCTAATTAATTCTTTGTATGAATTGTTCCTTTATGATATATATATATATATATATATATATATATATATATATATATATATATATATATATATAAGTATAGGATTGGTGTATACGGAATAAATTCCAATAACCAACAAATAGTATTCTTAAAAGAGTGCTCAATACAGAGTAGAGCAAATAACTTAAGACACCAGAAGTGTTGAAACAAAATGGCTATTTTTGTAGTGATTTTATAACATATTTATGTTATATTTTTCGAATAAATAATTATATATATATATATATATATATATATATATATATATTAATTCTCCAAATTGAAGTATTAAATATTATTACGATAACTACTGCTAACTTTTCTCCTATAACTACTGCTAATACAAGGTGAGATAATTTAAAAAAAAATGAAATAACAACGTTACAATGAATAAGTATTAGGTTGGTGCAAAAAATAATGACGTAATAATGTCGTTTTTTGAAGTATTTTTTAAGGCAAAAAAACGACATTATTACGTCATTATTTTTGCACCAACCTAATAAAAAACAGATACGATAAAAAAAGTTGAATGAGATAGGATTAGCTAAACGTCGGTATATCAGATGGCAAAAATAGAAACATTTAAACTAAAAGCTAAGCTTTTAGCGTTTTCGATGTAAAGTTTTAACTGGTGTTTTTGTTTTACCCCCCCCATTTCAATCACCCAACTTCATTGATAAAAAAAAATCAATAATTATTATGCAAAGGTAATTTAGATTTTTGTTAAATAACTACTTTTATGCTATTTTCCCGCAATTAAAACCAAAATTAAAACTTCAAAGCAAATATTTAAAATTAATGCAATACTTTTCACAAATTTTGGCTTGACTAACTTCTACCGGGTCCACGGTCCTTCAGGTAGATGTCGACTTGACTAAATTGAATAAGCTTAAGTGGCTACGATAGTGATGCAATCTCGTCATAATATTTTGACAAGATTATCTCAAACCTATTTTTAAAAATAATTTCACCCTAAGGAAGGCAATAAAACCGCTAAGACGCAAGGGGTTACTGTGTGTGACAAATAAGAGAAAAAGAAATCATTATTAATATTAAGGAGAGAACAATAAAAGAGCAATAATTAAGAAAACAGACGATAACGATTGACATTGAATTTAAATTTTTGAAGATCAAAATTGATTTGGGAGCGAGAAGCCAGAAGAGAGTTCCACAAGCAACAAGTGCCATAGAAGAAACTGTTAGCATAGAACTTACGGTTACATCTAGCCAGTTCAACTGTAAAATGATGAGACCTTCTTGCCAATCTAGTGTTGCACTTAAAATTTTTCATCCTTTAATAGTCATGTTTTTAAAATAATTTCACCGCAAGCAAAGCAATAAAGCCACTAGAACGCAAGCAGTTACTGTGTATTAGTGAATATGAGAAAAAAATAAAAAATAAAAATAAAAACTACCATTTTAGGAGAGAAGACAATAAAAGAACAAGAATTAAGAAGACAGAAGATAACGTTTGACATTGCATTTAAATTTTTGAAGATCACAGTTGACTGGGAAGCGAGAAGCCGGGAGAAATTGCCACAAGAAAGGAGTGCGATGGAAGAAATTGTTAGCATAGAACTTACGGTTGTATCTAACCATCTCAACTCAATGTAATATTCGTATCACTGATTGATAGATTGATTCATTTTCTCCGGATTATCACCCCATTGCAGGTTATCTAAAGTCAGAAAAAACATTTTTGGATGGTAAGATATTTTTTTAGATAATAATGGTTTAGTGATACAAGTCTTACTTATTAACCCATAGGTGGGGGAAAGAAGTGATTTCACACCTCTCTCAAAGGTATTTGCGCGTAAGTGAATATAACGAGAATCGAAACTTGGCACTCCAATTAACACCACCCATATATCCACGCTTACGCTACCTGACATTCTCAAATGGTCAACCACCAAGGTACATAACAGGCTCGACGTTTCTTAACTTCGGTAATCGTACAAAAACCGGTGTTTCAACGAGATATGGCCGTAAGCCCATTATACAATCCGTACATCCAAGTTAACAGCACCTGGTATTTCCAAGTGGTCACCCATATTGTTACTGACCAGGCTCAACGTTGCTTAACTTCGGTGATCATACAAGAACCAGTGTTTGTTGTACCTACCGAATTGAGATGATCAACTCTTAAATTATACCGTTTTATGTCGATCTATTTTGGATTTATATATTCAAAACGTAAAGAGGTTTATTTGATATGAATATCTCACTTAGATATAAATAAAAAAATACAGCGTGACATATTTTGTAAATAACAATGCAACGGACACTGGGTTTTTTTATAAATATAGATTAAAATAATTACAACAGTAGGGGTTATAACTCATTATAAATATAGATTTATATATATGTTAATTAACGTTAATGGCTGGCCACTCGTATTCTAGGATACCATTGGCGGCTATTTAATCCCTATTACAGACGCTTGCTCAGGCACATTTTTTGTTTGTTCAACAGAGTCCACCTGTAGTTTATACTGCAACTATGCTGAGCAGACTTTAGTTACAGTTTTTGGGAGAGAAGCGTGTTATTTAGCGTGAACAAGGCGAGCATGCTCAAACCCTCAGTCACGTTGACTTGTCATCGACGGTGCGCAAGGGTTCACTCTACCTGATTTCACTCAAAAGGCTTAGGTAAACCCGTGGCATGGTTTTCAGGCACTATTCTCCAGACCGTTAACATCAAGAAATCACAAAGGCTATTAAGGAGAAAGAACAATAACAGAACAGGAATTAAGAAAACAGAAGATAACGATTTACATTGCTTTCATTATTTACAATATTCGGACTGTTATCCACATCTTCATTGCCATACTCCGGCCTTCTTAAGGGAATTGGAATTTCGAACCGAACACTTTAGATCTTCAACCGGGGTAGATTGTTCTAGTTCCACTTTCCATGCCTCTTCCGGATGTCTCAGTAATTTTTCTTTAACACATCTCTCCAAGTTTTTGCTTCACCACTGCTGTAACCTGGTATTGAACTCACAACTCTTTGCTTCTAGTTACTGGATCTAACCAACGTCTTTATTCACTGGGCCATGTGTAGGACTCATGACCCAGCGGATAAAGATGTTAGTTAGATCCAGTGACTAGATCGAAAGCGGAGAAAGATGCTGACTAAGCCCAAAGAGCTGTGAGTTCAGTACCAGGCCACAACAGTGGTGAACCAAAAATTGTAAGAGGCATATATATATATATATATATATATATGTGTGTGTGTGGGGGGGGAATCAATGAAAAAGTGGAAACACGTTACATCCTTTAGGACTTCAGCGAATTGATGATAGCGGGGAAGTCCGTGAAACTAAACGTCGTGGCCCACCTGAGATTTGACTTATACGATTTGTTTATATTAAAGCACTGCCATTTTTTATTGCATTCTGCACTCTTTTTTTCAGTGTGCAATCTTAGGCAGACTCATTTAGAAGTTGCTTATTCTTTCTTATATATATATATATATATATATATATATATATATATATATATATATATATATATATATATATATATATATATATATATATATATATATATATATAAGAAATGGACCGACAATTTAAGTCCGACAATTTATTTATTAAAGACATTTTTATGTTTAACGTTCTTTTTTATAGATACAAGTATTTAAGTAAATGCTCTGTTTATAATAAACAGTATTAAATAACATTTACCGGCCTGAATGTCCGAGAAATTTTCATAGAACCTGCATCCTATACGGAACCGTCATTTACGCTGACATATAGGATGCAGGTTCGAATCCTGTCAAAGGACGAATATTTTCTATGAAAATTTCTCGGACATTCAGGCCGGTAAATGTTATTTAATACTGTTTATTATAAACAGAGCATTTACTTAAATACTTGTATCTATAAAAAAGAACGTTAAACATAAAAATGTCTTTAATATATATATATATATATATATATAGTGTATTGGAGCAGCAGATCATTATTTAAAGATATATTGTTAAATATAACAGACAATGAATGTCTGTTATGTTTGATCATGAGACGTTCTAAACTTCATAAGGTTGCTTTAATTTCGGATGAAAATAAAGGCAAAAAATGTGCGCATTTGGATGTTTTTTATTATGCCATTCCTTGATCTAAGCTTTCGGCTCACATGCGCCATCTTCAGTATGATTATATGGACATTTAAACAATGATATCAAAGATGATATTATGTTATGCTGGTATAAAAAAAAAAAAAACTGCTTTTAGACGATAAAGGTCGCGGAATAGCAACCGCGGGTGGTAAATTGATGATACGGTTCTGTGACGTCCTACCACGTGGGAGACTGAAATTTGTTGAGGGTGGGTTGCTTTGTCATAATGTACATTACCTTTTATATTTGAAGACTCTTTTTAAAGTGTGTATGTGTGAGTATCGCTGTGTTATCAACTAATATCTGCCTAATATTATCTACATGGCTATGTTTTTTCTAAGAAATGTTGTTTAATAGAACTAAGATCAGAAATGTGACAGTTAAGTCTGCTGGGGGCCAATATATGTAGTAGGTTTATTATTAGTATCTGAGATACAATCTCTGAACGGCTATGTTTGAATATATATATATATATATATATATATATTTATGAATAAAAATGACGATAGGAAAACTGGTAATTGCTGACGCGTTTCGTCCAATGTGGACTTTATCAAAGCACGTATTTTGCTTTGATAAAGTCCACATTGGATAAACGCGTCAGCAATTACCAGTTTTCCTATTGTCATTTTTTATTCATAAATATTGTCTTCTACCGATTAAATCGGAGAAATTTTCATATATATATATATATATATATATATATATATATATATCTTTTAGGCATGTCTGATTGAATAAATTATAGACATTATGTCGGCTAATTTTTAACAAAATCGGTTCATAATCACGAATAACCTTCCGTGTATTGATGTTAAAGAATGAGAGAAATATGCTATAGCTCTGTTTAAATTTCTTTTATATTCATTCAATCAGACATGCCTAAAAGAGAATTTGCTGCATATATATATATATATATATATATATATATATATATATATATATATATATATATATTGAAGTCAACACACAAAGCTGACAGTATGTTTCATGCTGAACGCAATCATCAGGCCTAATATATGCGACAGAACTTATCTCAATATAAGCAATCTGCTCATAGGTAAGTACACTGGATTGCGATAGTCAGTGTTATGATTAAATGTAATCGTCAGGTCTCCATCCAATACTGCTACTTATGACTGCACTGCTTATATATATATATATATATATATATATATATATATATATATATATATATATATGGGATTCATGCACATTTGCAACTTAGGTGATTGGTGTTATATTAAGCACACCGACTCCAGTGTTTCGTAGACGAACCTATTTTGTAATTCGTCGGTCATCTTGTCAGGAGGTATCAGCAACTGACTGCCGATTTTCTCATTTCCGTTATTCTTATATTAAGTTTATAATAATTTATTTACTTTTTATTAGTATCAGGGTGTTTTTTTAAAATTCTCTTTCTCTCTCTGTGTTTGTGTGCGTAACTCCTATACAAGTGTGTATGTGCTCTTGTGTAGAATGTCGTGGCTATTTCTCCTTTCTCACCATTTTCTCGACTCCATATTCCTTTTCCTTCATTTTTTCCCTCTCTCGGCCCCGAGTGTCAGATAATGTTACAATGTTATTTCCGGTGTCAGAAACAGGGCTTATTTTTAGGGTAATTTTTCTCGCATATTCTGATATTTTCTTAAGTTTGGAAAATATATGTAGGTATATTACATTTTTTATTTATTTCCTTTTTTTATTTTGAGAGAGAGAAAGAGAGAGAGAGACACACAGAGAGAGGGAAAGAGAGAGAGAGAGGGGGGGCTTATTTTAAGGGCAATTTTTCTCGCATATTCTGATATTTTCTTATGTTTGGAAAATATATGTAGGTGTATTCCTTTTTATTTATTTCAATTTTTTTATTTTGAGAGAGAGAGAGAGAGAGAGAGAGAGAGAGAGAGGGGAAAGAGAGAGAGAGGGGGGGCTTATTTTAAGGGAATTTTTTCTCGCATATTCTGATATTTTCTTATGTCTGGAAAATATATGTAGGTATATTCCATTTTTTATTCATTTCATTTTTTTTATTTTGAGAGAGAGAGAGAGAGAGAGAGAGAGAGAGAGAGAGAGAGAGAGAGATTTTATTACTTTAACACATTGACTGGAACCCACAAAATAACATGTGGTTAGCCGTTTTTATTATAATACCGACGACGAGTTATCTCGTGCTTGGCATTTTATGATAAATTTTGATTAGTGGGTGCCAACAACGAGTTTATTTGCAGTAATACTTTTAGTATGAAAACAATGTTAAGACTACAGCCCATGAAAAATGTTTTAACGCCTATGTATATAGTTGATTTTTTATAAAGCTAGCACTTGAAGTCAGTAATTGCCCTCTTTCAGTCAACGTGTTAACCGTTAATTTTAATGCCCCCCCCAAAAAAAATTAATTCTGAGGGGCTGTCTCCAGAACCAATATAACATAATGGAAACAGAAAAAAAAGTTTCGGTAGAATATGAACATCGTTTAGTGAAGATGCATAGACTAACAAAAAAAGGTTTAAAGTGGTTCAGAAAGTTTTCCATTGGAATCACATAAAGATGAGTGATACTATTACCCTGAAAATGCTCTGTTTATAATAAACAGTATATATCCGAGAAATTGCATAGAAAATATGCGTCCTCCGACAGGAATCGAACCTGTATCCTACATGGAACCGTCAGATATTACTTAAATATTTGTGCCTATATAAATAACTTATAACAATAAAATATACTGAAATTATCGTTGGACTTTGTCTATTTCATAATATATGACGTCATTTGTTTACGTTAAGATACGCTTCGACAGATATGAACGTTCGAGGGAAATCATAGGAAATTTGTAGTTTAAAAGTAGTAAATCGACCTTGCTAACCAGAC